GGTTCGGGTTCGGGGTCCGGGGGGCGAGTCCGGGGGGCGGGTTCGGGGTTCGGGGGGCGGGTTCTGCATAACGCCACGCGTGTCACTTTCCCCCTGGTTTCCTGGGAGGGGCTTTTCCCACACGTGGAGGAGTTTCTGCAGCAGGGAGAACTGCCCAACCTGCATACTGTGTTAGCTGTTTGTCAGTGGCACCTGCTTCACCTAAAAGGACTAGACAAAGTGCTTTGAAAAGATTCGAGTGCACAGAGGGACAGACATGCATCATCCAGGTTTGCCAGCTCATTATTGCTGAAAAATGTTCCAGTACCAAAGTACTAGTTACTGGTGACAGATTTTAAGACCAGCCTGTTCCAGCCACTACAGCACAAATTTCCTGTTTCTGCTTGAGGAAGGTGCTTAAGTCTTGCTATGGTGTAGCTGCACGTTTGTAAAGTAGGTAAAGGTTCTTCAGTTTCTTGTCTACTTTAGTAGTGTCTGGTACAATTTTGTGCCCAAAAATATTTTAATAACCAAGCACACTTTAAAACAATCTCGTGGACCAGAGGTAAGAAAATAAGTTTTTGTGGAAGCAAAGAGCAAGCTGTTCTTCCAAGACTTTAGCACCCACAGGTCTGCAACAGAAAAGATGCAAATAGTTCAACAAATCAAATTTTCAGAGTGCTTGACTAAATAACCAGCCACTTGTTACACACCACTGCTTGTGAGGTCAAAAAGAATGGAATACTTTGGTTCTCAAGTTCTGATGATACCTAATTTGCCTGACATAGGAGATACAATCTCAGATTTTAAGACCAGAATCTCAAGAAAGGATGAGAAAATGGAATGTCTAAGAGGCTAATTGTTTCATATCTGTACTTGATTACACTGGATGAGATTTCTAACAGCTAATGACTTGTTGATCTGTCGGAAAATATATAGCAGCACACAATATTTGGAACCTAACACAGAAGGAATTAAGTTTAGAAATGAGAGTATTTTGTTTGGGACAACTTGCTGCCTTAGGTCAGTCATACTCCCAGTGATGTAACTGTGCATCCACTGTACCAGGATCCAGGCTATAAAGTTTTCCTTTGCTGTGACAGGTATTATACTGGCAGCAAAATTCATCAGTGTGTTCCAGCATAAAAGAAATATTGTTCACATTTTGTTGCCTCCTCTCATCGTGATCAGAAAGAATTAGTGGGATTTTTTTTCTTTTTTTTTGAAATACAGATGATAACAGCCCACTGTGTGGGCTGAGTACATTCAACCCTTCATTTCAGTAGCTCACATCCTTCCATGTTGCCAGTTCCCATTGGGAATTTTGTATTTTGATCACTTCTTCAGCCAAGAAATAATTAAGCCAGTTCTGAAACTCAGACTCCAAGAAAAAAAGCCACAAAACTTGACACCCACTAAGGCCCAATTCTGCACTAATATACTCAAAACTGCCATAAATTTTGGTGCAAGTTCCTTTTTAGCAGAGGCTGTAGATCTCCATGTGTCTGACTGGTTCTTCAGATAAATACGAAGAGCAGAAAGAGCTTCTTGCTTGTGATACATGGTAGATGGAAACCTGCATGTCTGAAAAATGCTATTAAAAATTAATTACTATGTTTAAATATTGGGGAGGGAAAAAAAGAATTGATCTAAAATATATTGTAGGAACCAGTCATGTTCAGTGTTGAGGAGGCTACTCAATCTTTGTTCTTTATCAAGTGCATAATTAAAAGATTTATCCATCTAAGCCTGAATAGCAGTATTTTATTTCTAGTTTGTAGGAATTTATGCAACTTGGTTCTAGTTTACATTCAGCATTAGATTTAGAATTGCCTGAGGTTACACTTAAGAGCAAATACAAGTCAACACTATCTGCAATATTTAATTTAAAAACTCCTCAATAACCATAGCAACACCAGGCTTCACATAACACCAGCTTTCTGATCTTTAGTACACTGTCTTTGCTGGGCCTGAAAATGAAGATCATTGTTCTTATTAACATTAATTGCTTTATGAGTAATTGAATGAATGGCAAGTGAATAATTAACTTTAGGGTGTTTATGGGTAGCCCAAGAGGCCATTGTACTTTACTAACTGTTGTTTCACCGTGTTTCATGCATGCTCTACAATGAAAAAATCAAGCAAAACAAATGTGATACATTGTAGTGTTATTTTCACTGAAACAATAATATAATTGTTTATTTTCTGAATGAAAACTTATAAAAATACAGCCCAAGAGCGCCAGCTTGCATGTAAATTGGAAAACAAGGAGCAGTTTCAGATCCCTTCTTCTCCACCAGAGATCAGCTGTACAGTTGTTACTCATTCTCACCTGTGTATTTATTTTGCATTTGAGTAAACTGACCCCCACCCCAGCAATGACACTCATTTAGTCCCCTTCATCTCCTCAGCTGTCTGTTTTGACATTATTTGTGCCAGAATAACATTTTAAGTCTCCATTCCTTTACCAAACTCTTTTGAAACAGAGGAAAAGACTGAAAGTTGTCAGAAATGGCCTGGCAAAGACACCGCGAGTGCTGTGTCTTCTCTCTTCAAGGGACCCATCTAACACGGCCCAAACATGAATCTTGACCTGTTAGAGCTGCCACACCAGGTCTTCCTCTAAGCCTGGCCAGCTTCTAGCGGAGGGGTTGAGAAGATAAAAACTCACTTAACTGGCCAAGTCAGCTGGAGATGTTCTGGCTAATAGTGAGAGTCACCTGGATAACATCTATCAGTTTGTAGCCTGAGGGCAAGACAGGGTATATACAGTGCCTGTATTGGGGTGGTGGTAACTTGTTACTAGTTGTTAGGGTTAGGAGTTACCTGCATGGGGCTTGTAGCTCCAGAGGTGTCCAGGAAAACCTGAGAGGGCTTTAGAGGCACAGCTGTGTTTTGGGGAGTGAGGCCCACCTGGAGGAGCTCCTTCTGCAGACTGGGCTTTGATGCTGGATGAGTTACTTGTGTCTTCGTATGAAACAAAATTTTAAGCCCCCTGTTTTTTTCTGTGGTTTTTTTTTTTTTTTTTTTAAATGTTGGCTGCTTTTCTCAGCAAGGTCAGAGTCTTTTCCTCAAGTGGGTGTCCAAGTGTAGGGCGGTGCCCCTGGGGGGTTAGATGTGGCTGCAGTTGAGCTGTGCTGAGCTGGAGAGAGGCCTGAGGGAGCGCGGGGAGGCCGGGAGAGCCCCGAGCGGGGTGGGCTCTGCCCTGTGCTTGCTGTGCTGGGCTTCACACACGACCAGGAGAGGGGAGTTTTGTGTTTCTTAGGAACAGATGGCTCCTTTGGGATGCTGGATATTGGTGTGGAAATGCAGGTAAGGCCTTGCTGAAGCTAGAGAGGAAGGCTGTGGGAGAAGGTGCTGCGTGAGCCATCCGGCCTGGGAAGGCCCCTCGGCTGGCGGCGCTGAGGGAAGAGCTTGCAGCTCGTGTGTGGCACAACTACCTGCTGAAAAACTAACAAAACCAAGATACCAAGCACCTGTTTTTATTTGAGGCAAATAATTTGTGCTAAGGTTTGTTGGTTATGTTACAATAACACCTTTTATGTAGAGTTACACTTGCTGATTAGTGATGTTCATGTGCACAAGAGGGTGAGAAGAAGAACAGAATTAGATGCCTGTGAGGCAGTCGAGATCAAAAGGTGTCTCTCTGATTGCAGGCCTGTTCTTAATTCCTGTCATCTGGCAAGAACATGATGTTTTTTCTTTTTTCCATATCAAAATGCTTAGAAATTAGGGTCAGGACTTGAACATCTTGTTTCTTCCTACATTCTGGCCAAGTGTTGGCCCTTAAAATGAACTGTACATGTTACAATACCCTCCTTTCTTTATTGTTGGGCTGAAATAATTTTTACTGCAATAGCAGATGACCAAAGAGTGTATCTAAAAAAAAAATATAGAAATAAATTGCTGCTATGGTATGTTGGCTGTTAAAAATGACATTTCAAATATTTAAACCACTTTTTTCATCAAACAATTTTGTAGCTTTCTTATAAGTGGAAATAAAGTCGAAGTATTATTTCAGCTGGAATGAAATCAGGTAAAAAGAGGGTGCTGGGTATAGACAAGCTTGACCTTGGTCAATAATGAGTTCCTGGCTAGGATGTGCTATACTTAATAGCTTTTGATATTTTTACTTCATTTCTGAAACAAGTAAGAAGTTCAGTTTAAGTCTTGAGAAAAAAATAGGTAAGACAGCATTTCTGCAAGTATAGATGTTTACTATAATGTCTATTATTTTGTGCAACAATCTGTTTCTGTTTAGTAACCCACACTAGAAATGGGAAGTATATACATGAACTGGCTTTAATTATGCTTAAGTGAGTATTACTTTTTTTTTCCTCCTAATTATTTTTTTTGGTGTGGCTCGTTCATATCAAATGAGCTCTTGTTCTCTTCACTGACTTGTCCTATTGGAAAGTTGTGTGTGTGTGTTTCTTGTTGTTTGTGGTTTGGTTGGGTTGGTTTGGTTGGGTTGGTTTGGTTGTTTTGTTTTGTTTTGTTTTTTCCCACATATGTAGTGAAGCCCTAAATCTAGATCACTGCAGGAAGAAGTTAGTCCTAGGTAATCAGGATTTACTGTAGGAAGCTGTAATCTCTCGGTGTTATTACTGCATTATTAAGCAAAAAGCTATTGCAAAGAGTATGTCTTGTTGCATGAATCATAACATTTTTATGTCTGCGAACAGTCATTTCTCAACCACCCAACTGCTGGAGGTAATTCAGAGGAAGGCATGTGAGGGAAAGGCATGTTAGTATGAGTGGTTAGGCTGTTATGTGATCATTGGGAACTCATACCCGAGTTTCTTCCGTAGCTCCCTACTTCGTTTGCAGTGTTTTGGAAACTGATTTGCTTCTCGTGAGGTTTACTTTGTACTGGCTGTGTCTCAGCACAAGCTTTTAAAAGTTAGCGAGGTGTTCCAATCAAGCATTGTCACAGTGTTCTCCTGCCTTTAAATCTGGTAGCAGTATTAGTTGGTCCTAACTCCAGTCTGTTGGGGTTCTCCCTGACCTGACCCATCCACTTGTGCCTTTTAGCTAAGCCTTAGAAACCAAGTCACCTGTTGAAATGAACTATGATTTGTGACATTAAGTATTTTTTTCTGTAGTTTTTCCTTAGAACTTGATTTACTTTTCAGTGCTTATTTTTTATCATCCACAGAGCAGGTGGCTGCCTTCATAAACAATTAGCTTTTAGTTCTTTGTCCCCATGAAATGGGAGTAGTGAGGATGATGTGGCATTTGGAAAAGCCACCAGTTTAATATGTTGGCCTTTACCAGAAGAAATACTTGATCCATGTGTTGTGAGGTGAAATGCATTATTTTTCATTCCTTTCCATACAAAACTAGTTGAAAGTTTTTGAAAGCAAGACTGAGTGTATGCCAGCCTTCCTGGGAGGAGCTGTGCAGCTACATGGCTCTATTTTGTCAAGGGCATGTGTCACAGTAACTGCTTCTTTACTTTTCCTTGCCCTAGGTAATTGTGCAACTACTTGAGGAGAAGGGAAAAAAAGTCTTGGAAGCTTTCAGAGGAGCTTTGGCAGTTTTGTTGAAGAGCAGAATGGTGCAGAAGGAGCACTCTGAGATAGGGCACAAGTTGCAGTTGAAAAGAATGCTGTAATTGTGAGTACAGTTTGTTTAGACTCTGGGGAGGACCTGGTAGGTGTCACATGTTCTGTATCTGTTGGTCATGGCCTGGCAATTGACTTTAGAATATGCCAAGTATGCTCTATTCATATTTGAAGTATGAGAGATGGTTTTCAGACCTGGTGCAGAGATGCACTTGCCCTGCCTGCCTGCTTGATTTGGAATGGCTTTGATGAGGCAGGTGCTAATTAACACAAGGCACTGTTTGTCGTTGCTGCCAATGAATCTAGTTGGGTATAAGTAGTGAAAGAAGACAGTTACAGGTGAATCAAGAATGGGAATTTAAAGGGTCATAAAACTTGAATTTTCACCAGAAAGATGCAGATAATTTTGTCTGTGCTTCAGGGGACACAGCAAAGTGTGTGAGAGTGTAAATTAACTCTGAGGACTCTAAATATTTCATGTGGTACTTGTGCTTCTGATGTCATGGCTGTGTCTCATCAGGACTTAGCACAGGCCATATACAGAAGCAGCCATTAGGTGTCAGAATTACCCCATGTGCAGAGTGAATTGCTCAGGAAAGTGCATTTCTGCCCTCGCTTAAAAAAACTACAAGGGCTCACAAGTTTCCAGTAAATTTCTTGTAAAGTTAAATAGTTGCCATATACATATATAGATAGATTCTTTAAGTTTTAACTTTAAAGAAGGTCTTTTCCCACGAGGACAGAAAGGGACAGAAAATAAATGACAATGGATGGCTTGTTGTTATAGAACAACAGAAGTAAGAATTTAACCAAGTAGTTTCTAAGACAACAAAATTCAGATAGTTGTTTAATAAGGAAGATAAAAAGGGATGAAAACCTGGACGTGATTCCATGTTCTTTCTTATGTGTCATACTTTTGGAACCACATCTACTGTACCTGGAACTTGACCAGTGTCAATACAGGGATGAAAAGGAGAAGGAAGCTATTGCCATAGGCGGCTGCCCAGAGTTCTCTGGATTTACACTGGGGTAGCATCAACACCCATGTCTAGAACCACCCTCTTGTTGTGTGGATCATATCACAGATGGTGTGTTCTGGATGTTATCACCTTTCTGAGGTTTGTGCTCTAGAAAGTATGTTCTAACATTTTTGTCTTGTTTTAGTACATCTTCCTAACCAAGGATTTGATCCTCTAAGTGTCCTTTGTGTATCATAATTTGGATTCAGATTCTCCTTCTGCACTGTCCCTATAGAAGAACCCTAGTCAGTTATAATCCCTCTGCATTGTGCATGATAAATTTAAAATTCTATTAGAGGACACCGCTCCCTAGGTCACAGAAGAAAAGATAATCTGGGAGGTATTTTTATAGAAGGTTAAAATACTAATCCATTTTAGTAACTAAATGGATCGTTTTTTCTGAGGTTTGCCTTTTTTCAGCTCCTGATACTATGTATGTTTTGGGACATCTGTTTAAGTGTTATTTAAGACAGCAAAAATAAATGCTTTCAGAATTATGATGATTCAGTGTCAGTGGCAGTTGGTTTATAAGCTCTTTGTAGGACTATCCTTCATAACCTAACTTATGTTAGATATAGTAAGAGCATTTGATGTTGCAAAGAAAGCGTTTGAATGAATGGCAGGGACTTAGGGAAAGGAATTCTGTTGTAATTTAAAGGCTGAAGAACTGTTTTGTAGATTTCCCTTGTCTAAATACCACATGATGTCCTAATTTACAAAACCAAAATGACTCTGGTACTTAATCCCATATCAAATGCTTTAAGAACTGGGTAAGAAAATCAGAGAAATAGGTGTCTGTAGGAAAACATCATCATCTGCCAAGGCCAGAAGAGGACCTTTCTGAAGGTTTTAATTGTTGAACTGGAAATAATTAAAACATTTTTATGGTACATAGTGTGCATGACAAAAATAAATGGCTTGGTAAATGAGAAAGATGAAGAGTTACCCAGAATAATTGGAACACTTAGTGAGCTGTGCTAATCAAATTTTCTTACTGAGTGAATCTCTTTACAATAAACAATAAAACTGGTTATGAGAAGAGGCTTTCTTTGGATACAAGCTGCTTTCTGAATAATAAAAATTCAATGTGAGTATTGGGTGTCACACTTTGACAAAGAATATCTGATTTACACTAAAACTATAAGCAGGAGGGAATTCAATTGTAGCAGGCAGGGCTTTTGATATATTAATAGTTATAGTCAAATCAGTGAAAGGATTTTGAAAAAGTGGGAAGGGTATCAAGAGGAGAGACTAAAGAAATGGAGGGAATGTCCTCCTCCAAGTGGTGACCATGTTGCAGCCTGCTATTTCATTATATGAAAATAGAATAGAAATGTGGAAGTTTTTTTCCAGTAAGGTTTGCATATAATTTGGAACATGATAAATTTGTTATTTGTAATACATTTGGATTAAAGGCAAGAAACAAGTACAATAGCTTGGGATGTAAAGAAGGTCATGCTAATTGCTATTGTTTTGCTAAACAAAAGGTCAGATAACTTTTTGTGAGCCTGAGAGCTAGACTGGCCCTCCTATAGATAGTTGAGCTCCTGAAGTTAATTTCTGCATAAGAATTGCAGTCAGTAGCTCTGTTTTGTAATAACTGTAGTTACCCATTCATTTATTACAACGATCTGTGTTCCTGGCCTTCTTTTTGCAATAGGTCCTGCCATAACAAGAAATGACTCAAGAATTGTGCTTCTTTTATCTCTGTGTAAGTAAGGTGTTGGAGATGTGGACTTCCTTGAGTAGTTGTCTTGAGTTGCTGTTGTTCTATTACGTTTACTTGAAATATTTCATGTTGGATGAATCTACTCTTGTGCTTTATTGCTGACATCTGTAAAAGACACTACACTTCTGCTAAAAGCATTCAGGAAAAGTAGTAAGAAATAAAAATGCTGCAAACTTCTGGAGACTAATTTGTTAATTGGAATGCATGAAATGTTAAGTATAATTAGTGTAAATGCACTTAGCTGCCAGTCTAAATTTATAATTGCCCAGAGCAATTAGAATTCTGCTGTTTTCACGTTGACACCTGTGGAAGCTACCCTGTTTGAGCTTATTAGCAGCCATTAAAAATATAGTTGGATGTCCTTCCTCCACTTGGATTTATTTTCTTAGTCACTTGCAGCTCTTTTTTCATTTATTTGAAAAATGATAAAACAAATGCTAAAACTTGGTTGATTTTTTTCTTGCAAGATACACTGCTTGCATTGAAGGATTCTTTGTTCTCCACTTCTCTGCACCTTCTGCCTGTGGTAACCGTTGTATGATGAAAATGCTAACTTGGAAAAGATGGGGTGCCATCTTGTATAATATTTAACTTCTACCTGGTATGGCATAAGTTGCTCTCTTTAACGACTTCCCCCCTCTTTTTAGTCAGCAGAAATATTTCTTAGAGCAGATGTAATATAAAAGTGTTCAACATTTTTTTGGCAAGTTTGTGGGCTAAATTTCTATTAGAAGATCCTGCAGAAGAGGATGCTACTGTGTGTATGCGTTCCAAGTATTATCCTGAAGTAATCTTGACTGTATTAGAGTTTAAGCTGGTGTAACGTAAGTACTGTACTAGAGCCATGATTTGTTTCATCAGATTTCTTAGATTGCTGTGTTTTGAAGGCATTGGAGATAAGTGTCCATGTAATTGGTTTTAAAATACAAAATTGAGCCCGTGTTTTTAATTGAAGTATTTGATGTAGTGCTGATGATGGAACTTGTTCTTACAGCAGAAATTCTTTACCTGGGTCCAGTTATTAGCAAGGAAAAAATGCATGGGTAGCTTTGTTCTTGTGCCTTTACTGGGTGACTCTTGATTCTTTCTTTAGTAATGACTCTGTCCGTTCTGTAGAGAACAGTGTGTTGTAGGTGAAGACAAAACAGATGCTCCTGAAGACGGCATTAAACACCTTTGCTCTAAGTGTAAGACAAGTTCAAAGCTAGTGCAAGAATACAGTGCAGTGACTGCTTTCTTCTGTCAATGTAGATACACATATGGCCAGAAATTAAATATTTCTTGAAATCCTCTGTGGAATATGTCACTGTATATATGGACATATATGCCCCTTCTGTCAGACTCGATACATAGTGTCCTCAGGTCTTGTATGTTTATCTTGGTTGAGTTGCAATGTAGAAGCTATAGAAGTAGGAAAACTTAAAAATAATATAATACCAAAATATATGTCTGATAAAGCCTTAGCATGGGAACACTGTTTCTGAGGTGAGAGTCATTTTTGAGGCATCATCAATTGATCTGCTAGCGCTTTACAACAGAAGGCTGCATACCTGTCCCTCTTGTACAAATAGTTACTCAGAGTACAAAAGGTAAATAACTTAGTATTACCATCCAGCAGGCTGATGGATGATCATGTAATCAGAAAAAACAACAAACAACACCAACAAAAGGTTTTATTTCATAATTGGGTACATCAATGAAGCTCAAGATTATCCTGTGTTCTTACATATAAATAAGGGGAGTTGTTTGCTTGACCCTAGTAGTGCAGTGGTGTGGCCTTTGTGCCAGACACTGCTACAGTAGTGCAGGTGGCAGGACTGCA